ACACTCTATATTGTTAAAATGGTGCCAGAAGTTGTTTTCACACTGTTTGTCTTCAGGCTACTTTATTTATTTTGGGTATAAAACAAGTTTTGTTATCGATTTGTGTGGAGTTTTTAGTCTTCTTTGAACACTATACTTTTAATGAAGAAGAAAGCGTTGTCACTCGAGGCAAGATTTGTTTATTCCAAAAAATATAACAAAATAGAAAGTAGAATAAAGTACATGCTTTTCACAGTTTTTTAATGTAATCCACAACACTATCCAGCACCTGCACTCCGGAGGGAAAGCCGAGCCAGCCCCGGTTGAAGAAGTTAATCATGCCATGGAAACCCCCCGCCACATGGCGCCAGGTCACATCCTTCTCCAAGTCCAGCAGTCGTTTCCTATACAGATACCCATCATCCCTCAGAACATCATACTCACAGGTGAGGATAAAGGTGGGAGGTGTTTTCTGAATGTCAGCATCTTCCGCCAATAAAGGAGAAACCTCGTGTTCCAGACCATCTTTCATTGCGTGATACACCTGCCCATCATACTCAGGGGTTGGGTGCTTATCGTAACCCCGCGCAAGGAACTCAGCAGGAAGATTAGAAGGGGAGAGCCACTCCTCATATCGTGGCTTGAGCTCATTTGGGACATGGATGCCTTCCAAAACGTCCTGGCACAGCGACATGTCTCCATTGAGGTACTGCAGGAAGTAGAACGCCATACGGCCACGAAACAATATGGGCACAGCATGATTTTGCTGGTATGAGGGCAGGTTGAAATCTGCCATCTGCAGGGCTGGGTAGATGAGGACCTGAGCGCAGGGGAACAGCAGATGTCCAATCTCTCTCCTCGCCAGCCTTTGGCACAGCGCGGCTGCCAGGTTAGCCCCAGTGCTGTCCCCTCCCACTGCCACTCTGCTAGGGTCCACGCTAAACTCTGCCTCGGCCACAGACAGGAAGTGACATGTCGCTGCCTCACAGTCGTCCAGCGGGGCAGGGTACCTGTGCTCAGGGGCTAATCGGTACCTGAGAGGGGTGAGAGGGAAGGTGGAGTGACAATATGGTTAGCTCTGGCTCTTTGGAAGATTTTTTGGAGTATTTATTTGAATTGAAAAGTTTAAGTACCCAACAGAAACCACCGTCGTGTTGGTTTCCTTGGCGATGTGCCGACAGACTTCATCGACAGAATCTGTGGAGAATTAGGATCACTGTTAGCAGAATATATATATGCTAGCACTAAAGACAGAATGGCAACCTTTGTTATCGCTGTCAACACTGTGTATTCGGTGAGCATACTGTGATGGTAATGATGGAAAGTACACATTTCAAGTAAAAAGTGTAGTTATTATATTGACTATGTATTTACACAGTTTACAACTTTCTGTTTTACTCAACTTTCTGTTTTTTAATTTCTGTTTTTTTCCAGACACCACATAATTAAAATAAGGGATCAAACTGTCTAGCATATAAAGTATCCAACACCTGGACAGATAAAAACACAGTACATTAAAGATAAGCAAAAACAGTTTTTTGGTAGAGACTGCAACCTTTTTTCCACAATAATATCAACATTAATTATCTTAAGGGTCAGTTCCTGAGCCAAATGTAAAATAAACAGTGGAAGTTAATATACAAGAGGAGAACTTTATCTGCAAATATATTCAAATGTCCTTTAATTTATGATCTAAGTCTTAACAATACATGCATACATAAATACAATTATCTTCTGATGCTATGAAAATTCATTTAAGTTCAGAAATACTGCAAAAAACTTGATTATTTATGTGGATATAGCTTTCAGGTCATGCCAGGTAAAACTATACAAATGACGGTTTTAATGCACATAAAAGAGTATCATTCTACAGTATGACTCAAAGGAATTATTTTAACGTTGTTTACCTATATTTCTCAATACCCATCCACCTCCAGGGAAATACACAAGACCTCTTCTCAAGCCGTCACACACTGTTGTGGGTTCATAGACTCGCACCGGGACATCAGAAAACTTCATATCCTTCACTCGCAGACCCGCAGGAACTGGATTTAAGCGGGTCAGGAAACAGGCCACAAACCATCGGAGAAAGCTGATCTGATGACAAACACCCAGGCGATGTAGGATACGACCCTTTAGGGGAAAGGTACCACAGACTTATGTTTCAAATACAAAGAATTATCAGTGTTCTTGATAGGTAAAGTCAAAGTGAAAGTTATTCTGTCTGAGAGGCCGTATTTACCATGACAACATCAAAGAAAGGGAGCACATGACCTTGCCTTTTATGCACATTTGTTAGACTTGATATCTTATCTAAAATGTCTCTGATGTGAGCTTTATCAGTTGCTGGAGGACACAGAAAGGACAGCCATGTTTGACAACAGCCTAAAAGAGTATTTTTTTTTCTATTGGACAAACAGTCATTTTCCTTCACACTAAGGATTAAGTGCATTTAATATTTAAAAACATAATATGCAAAACATTAATGGAGCATACAAATAATAAGCATTAACAATGTCCTAGATGCCATAGATACTCACCACAATTGCTATGCCAACAAACAAGCCATGAACCATGTGCAGTTTCCATCTATTTGCAACCCCACGAGGAATGTCTGAATTCATCAGCTCAGAGTACACAAGTCCAATTACCAGAAGGAAGAAGGCTGCAACAAGAGCAGCGAAGCCAATTATTAAAATTGCTGTGCCGATGTCCATGGTGTTGCTGGTCTACTCTGCTGAAGGTAAGTCATTAGGAGTAAATGTTTTATCTACCTGCTTTCAGCCTTTTCTCCACCCCTCCCACATCCGCGTGCAAGGCATGTTGACCTTGGTTTCACTTAATGATGTTTGGCTTCCTGTTGCCCAGGAAAAAATAATTATATTCTTCACCCTCTTGTTTGGATGTGTAGTCACCAGTTTCCCACTGTTGTTTCAGATGGTATATTGCACTGCATTTGTATATGTAAACACATTTTTTGTAATTACTCATACATTTATTTGGTACCTATTACAATCCCTAGTAATATTTTCCAAATCAGCTCAAGGTTGTTTGGTTATTTGGGCTTTTTTCATGCCCCTGGTATCGAGGAAATCTTACAGCTGCACTAGGCTCAGAGTGGCATTTTCATTGTCTGGTATCTAAAGAAAGAAAGAAATGTTTATAGATGCTCCCAGTGAAGGCAAACAGAGAACACCCTTATCTGAACTTTCACGGCTGATCTGTAGATGGCAGTGATAGCATGAGAATAAATAAACAGCCCTTCTGGAATATATATGCTATTTACATTATTGCAATGCAGCCTAAACCCATTTTCCACCCACTGTAATGTAATATATCTTTTGACTTTTTTGTTGTTTTCCCAAATCCACTAACTTGATTTCAGTTTTCTTTTTAGCTGAGAAAGAATACTTTGGTATAAGCTTCCAGCAGCTTCACCTGGGGTTCAGGTTTTGGAAAATTCTGAAATTTTCCAAAATGAAGACAGCATCTGGAGTCGTGTTGTCTTGGAGTTTTTCGAAGCCTGCGAGAGCCTCTCTGCCTTCCCTAAGTAGCTGAGCCCGGCACAAAGCAACCATTGTGAAGCTTCTTTTTAAACCCATCCCCAGTTGCTGAAAAAAGCCCTGCATTCAGCGATACCCAGTAAAAAAATCCCAGTGCCAAGGCCAAAAATCACAGACTGGAATCTGGTCTGAGGCTCATGAATTGATATGATTTGTTTTGGAGGTATTCAGACAGCTTTCTGTTTGTCACCAAGCCAAGCTTCCGAGACTTGGGCTGACCTATTTCCCAAATTGCAATGTCACAGATAAAAATATAGTCCACTCTAAAAATCAATATGTTACCTCAACAAATTGGGTTCAAAGAAATGATGTAACTTTGCACACGTAGGATCCCAGCCCAAATGCAGGGACACATCAAATGTTATGAACCATTAAAGGGGCCCTATTGTGCTTTTTGGGGATTCCCTTTCCTGTAATGTGTTGTACAGGTTTTTGTTCATATTAATGGTCTCCAAAGGCTATAATCCCAAACTTCACTCCAGAGGGAGTTTCTCTACCACAACCCCCCACCCTCCTGCCTGAAACGCATCCACTGGACTCCTTGGTTTACTTCTGTAACATAATGTCACTCTGTTACCCTCGCCCTTCTATTGGCTAGCGCTCCAACACATAGTATGCAACATATCATATAATCATATCATATAATTAAACCTGAATGAGCATAATAGGGCCCCTTTAAATTTAAATAAACATGTTATAGGGCCCCTTTAAATGAAAATAAACATGTAAAATAAGCATGCCATGCTTTGGTTAGGTTTTGCTGTTTTTTTATTATGTGGGCTCATGGTACATTGAATCTTTAAACTTTTACATGTGTTACAAGGCATCACAATATTGAAGCTTGACAGAAAAGATGGAGCAGATGTGTTGGTCATTATGAGATTTGGCGTAAAAAAAAGAGTGCCCTTTGTTAAGGTAAGCACATTAAACATTTATCAGTTAATGTATATTTTTTTAAAGGAATCCATCTGCTTTAGGTACTTATTTAAGGGGGGGGTTAGTGTTATGGTTGCAATTGTCAGGTTTCTCAGCTGTGTGTTTGCTTAATGCTTAACTGATTAATTGTTTGTTTGTTTATTTCTTTCACTTAATTAATGGGAGGGCTGGATTAGTTGCCATCAGTCATTTTAATGAAGCCCTTGACCAAATAACCCCAGCTGGTGCTCTTACATAAGAATAGTGTGGTTGTATTGACTTATAGCTATCAGTGAAACAGTGATTGAATTCTCATTGTTTTTCTGCAAGTTAATACACTTTCCCAAACAAGATTGGGCACCCACCTGGGACGCTGTGGTGCGACCACTGGGGGGCCCCGGACCACAGATTGAGAAGCACCTCTGTACACACATTAAGGGGGTGGGGGAAGAGGCAAGTCCGCAACCACTCAGGGGCAGACTGGCTCTGGAGCAAAAAAATATTCATCCCCACTTAACATGTCAATCAGGATTAATGCCCATACACACCTCCCCTTTATGTTCATCCAGGTCCTTTCACTAGTAGAAGTATAGCGAAGCCAGGGCAGAGGCGGCAATATATAAAGCAGAGAGGACAGGACAGCAACACAACTCCAAAGCCCAGCGGTTTCAGTAGCGCACTCCACGGAGCGCAGCCAGGACTCTCACGTTGGAGCGTCTCTAGCAGCGGTTGACAGGCGTAATGACGGATCACTCACTCATTTCCAGAGCGTGATGCATGTCGACTGTCATGTCAGAGCTCCTTGAAATCACACAGTTTTTACTCGCCAGTGGATTACTCATGCAACAGTTTCTGATGCTGCATATGAGAGTGTTTGCATGCTGACAAACTTGCTCATAAATCGCACAGTTGGGAGGACACCAGAAGTGCACGTAAACTTGTAGCGTAAACATTATAGGCTGCTCATCGGCTGCCACTGAGCACTTTTCGAGATGGATTTGAAGAACGCGTGTCGTATGTGCCTTTTCCCTTTTCAAATGCTCTATTACATAGTCAGGGCAAGTTTGTTTTCGCTGTTGCCAAACAGAAGGAAGGACCTGAGCAAGGAGGTGGTATTGATCACCGGTGGGGGACGAGGCATCGGGCGTCACCTGGCTAATGAGTTTGCCAAGCAGGGGGCCAGAAAGGTAATTTCATCTAGACAACTTGTTGCACCTACATTTCTTCTTCTTATACTCTTTACAATGTAATTTCTCCGTTATTAAAGTGATGCTGCATGTAGTTTGTATTGGTAATGCTTCCAGCAGCAGTAGTAGAAGTAGGCCTACTCAGGTATTGTACTTAAAAGTAAAAGTAAAATTACCAGTGTAGGAATACTCTGTTACAAGTAAAAAGTCCTGCATTGAATATGATACTCAATTAAAAGTACAAAAGTATTAGCATCAACATATACTTACTTAAGTACCAAAAGTACTCATTTTGAGGATTGGCCCATTTCAGAATCATATATATTATATGTTTTGATTATAATTATTGATCATTGAAGTGTTATCAAATCTGGTAAAGGTGCAGCTAGTTTTAATGACTTTGTATGCTGCAGGCAGGGTAGCTTGTGAATGTTACTCCAGGTGTAACTAAAGTAATGTTTCTGTTTATATTTATATTTCCCATTATTAATGCAAATCTGCAAAGTAACTTTTTGTATTAAATACATGTAATGGAGTAAAACTACACTTTTAATCTCTGAACTGTAGTCGGATAAAAGTACAGTGTAGCAAAAGAAAGAAATACTGAAGTAAAGAACAAGTCTCTCAATATTTTACTTAAGCCCAGTACTTGAGTAAATGTACTTAGTTACTTCACACCACTGCATCCACATTGCTTCTTCCACTATTTCCTAAGTAATGTCTCAGATCTCAAAGTTATGTTGCTTGTAGTTTGTATTGGTAATGCTTCCAGCAGCATTAGTAATTGCCCCCCCCCCACACACACACACACACACACACACACACACACACACACACACACACACACACACACACACACACACCACACACACACACACACACACACACACACACACACACACACACACACACACACACACACACACACACACACACTATCCTTAGGTAGCCCTGTCAGTGCTGCCCACCTTGCCCCTAGTGTCTTGTTGCTGTTCTATGAAAGCTAGGATCATGACCCCTAAGTAGCCCAGTCGGTCCAGTGAGACTGAAGGCATTGCCCTCAATTTTGGTTCAAGTATTGCACAACAGCTTGGGTCAACCAGAGGGCAGGACCGGGCAGCCTTTATGGCTGATTGATGTGATTAAGTTCAGTACTGCGCTGAAATTCATTGTGCTAAAAGTCTGTGTGATAATGGCATGGCATGACAGTGTTTTATCCAAGGATTTAGGTTGTGTTAAGGAAATTGACTGTGTGTGTGTGCGCAAAGTCTCACTGAAACTGCTTCAAAGCCACATAAAAACACCCCCGCTATTACCCAATTATAGTTTTCTTGCTATATTTTTAGGAGTCTTTGCACTGTTGTAAACTTTGGCAACATATCACAACACAAGACAAAAGGCCCCACAATGCTTCCTAATGAAGAAGAAGAAGATTCAACTTATTGTCATTACGTAGTACAGGTACTATGTAACGAAATGGTTTCTCTGCATTTGACCCATCCTAGTGTTAGGAGCAGTGGGCTGCCATAATGTACGGCGCCAGATTAGGTTTCGCATAGCATGAGGACATGAAATGCCTTTTATGGAGTCTGTGCAATACTAATTGAGCAAAAAGAAACCAACAAAAAAGTGGTTTGGGAGAATCAAATCACATTGTCTTGGATAAGTCTAATACAAGTTATAATATAGTAACTGAAATGCAATCATCAGGGCTGCCCTTGACTAAAGAAAGTCTTTGTTGTTCTACATTTCTTAAGATTTGGTTGACTATTCAAGCAGATGATTTCATCAACATATCTATAAAACTGAGTTTCTCCAGTAAGGATCATGCAAAACCCATTAAATCTTGTGAACCAGAGATAAGCTCATAAATCTCTTTGAAATACTAATTCATGAAAAAAAGCCTTAAATGTCCAATTGACAAATAGATGGTAGTTGACCAACATGAGCAATACGTTGACTCATCAACGTAGAGGGAGCAGACCTAATCAGATGACAGAGTAAAAGGTCAAAATGGGTCATAAATAACATTATTTATCTATTTATTATGAGACAAGGTATTATTCATCATAATTTTTCCAAGCTTGATGTGACATGCTCTTAACCGTGAATCAAATCGTTTTCTGTTTTACAGATTTTGAAGTTGAGGGGAGTCTATATTTGATCAAATCTCTGGGTTAGACTGATCTGTTGGCTGCCATTTGTGCATACCCGTACAATTCTAATAGGTTTTCTTCAATAAGGGAAGTCATCCAGTCCTGCCAATTCAGAGAATCACCCAACTGGTGGAAATTGTGCACCCTCCCGCTTCACCCCACTCCCCCCCATCCCTCACCCCACTAACAAGGAGCCGTCACTTGGGCCTGAAAATGCTCCAGTGGCTACACAGACAGTCCATGCAGGTCATGCTAGACTCTGTTCCCATCATCGTTCCCAGCTACGGTTTGTCTACCAATCCTGTGGGTGAACATTACACAGCTGAGTGCCTGATGTACCCGCTGGTGTCCCTTAAGCAATAACGTGTTAATACTGAGTAGCTCTATTTTTGATCAACTCAGATGGGAATCATCCTTACACATGGAGAAAAGCGGGGGTAATTTCCCCGGTAGAAAGCACTGAGCATCTCAGCTGAGAGCTGCGGGTTGTAATTATCTGTACATGTGTGACACAACGCCACATCTCGGATGCAATTTAAGCAGCTTGAAAACATTGCTAAAAGCTCGATGAAACACTAACTGTCCCCCCCCCTCTGTCTTTCAATGCTATGTCCTTGGGGAACTAGCAAGGAGAAACCAGTGGGTTTTAAAAGCTTTACTTTGCAGCTGCACAACAAAGGACGGCACCATCCTTTTCAGCACCCCATTGTTGGGTATTATCTAGGTGTGAAGGCTTTGAAAACAACACCTGTGGTAATGTGTATGACAATCACTCCCTGCCTAAGGAGATGCTAAGAGGAAATAGGATGGTAATTATGAAAGGGCTAACCTCTACGAACTTGCACTAACCCCAGTTTGAGCCCCTTTGTGATTGGCAGCCGGAATTTCCTTTTCCCTCTGCTTGGGCTTTTGGTGTTTTCACGGTGTGAGGAAGACTAACTACAGCGTTGAGGAAAAAATCAGGCGAGATTGAAAGCCGGGGACTCAAGGGGGGAGCCAGGTCTTCTTGTGTGCTGTTAGGGGGGGGGAACCGTTGCAGAACAAAGCTCTGAAACAATAAACCAGAGAGCAAAAGTATTTTCAAACACGGCATCCAAGTTCAGAGCACTGCGAGAGGGCTTGCAGAACAATGCCAGTAAATAGTTGACAGCTTATTTCTTCAAAGCTCAAAGTATTTCTCAGACAACAACTTTAGAAGAAAGCGTTTGCCGAGTTCATTGAATTTTATGTGGTTGTAAGCATTACATAAAGAGACATTACATCACTGCTAGGAAGATGAACCAAACCACGGCACTGACAACAGGTTTGGGGGTGGGGGGGGGGGGGCGTTGTGTGCGTGTGTGTGTGTGTTGTGCTGGGGGCGGGAAGCCCAACGCTCCCAGCTGGGTATTGCCCTGCAACTGACCTTGCTGTCTCCGCAGTAATTAGACAGCGGCAGGCGACTGCCTCCTGAACTCCTGTTGCCCCCTCTGTGTGCCGCCTCTCTGCTGGCCCATACAATGGGTGTGAAAAGGAGGGTTCCTACCCACCCATACATTCAGACCTGAGAGATAGAGTATCACTGTAATTCAGCTGGAGCTACTGGGGACACAGAGGTACACCACAACCAGTATTGAATGGCATCTCCACTCTGTCTCCTGTTTCAGGCCTTGCCACATTAATTAGAGAGCCTTTACTTACAGCATGTGTTGACGTTATGTAATATAAGGCAGGCCTAGTTATGGCTGGTTTATCAGTGATAGCCAAAGGGGGCTTGTGCAAGGTCAATCAAATAATTGTTTTCTTACGGTTTCTATCCAGATTGCAATTTGGCCAATGCTTGTTTGTTCTGAGGGTCCTGTGTGTTGTGACGGGTGATGAACCTAATTAATTAAATAACATTTTAGCAGGAGAGCACAGTTTGAGTGCTGACTTTTAATGAGAGCTGTCAGCTTTGTTTGTAGGGCTCAAATCCTATTAAAAGCTTTCAGTTATTTATCAAGACCTGTCTGCCTTGACTGATTGCTCAAATGGGCTTGCAAATGAAGCAAACAAAAAAACCCAATCAAGAGTAACTCAAACAAGGGCCGCTCACAGGGGGAGCCCGCCTTAATGCTTCATATCTGATAAAGAAATTAGGAACATACTAGACTGTAAATGTGTTTTATTTTCTAGAGCTTAACAGTGTCAGTATTAATGTTTGTTTATGCCATTATTACCATCCGTCATTGACACACGAACAAGGCAAGGATAAATAGCAATACAGTTATTTTGTGTCTGTTCAAATTAACATTGGTCATTGTGAATATGTTATTTTAGGCTCTATACAAATGTTGACTTAATTTGAAAAGTTTAGCATTTACTAAGAGTCTTGTGTTACTGCAGGATGACAGGTTTAATACTTGCAGAAGATGACGTGCGATCCTCTATAGCTATTGAATCCATGAGAAAGGCAACACACGCTGTCGTTTTGTCTCTCACATACACAGGATCACTTTCCAGAATACTTTTTGCTCAAATATTAACCTCGGTCACGGGCGACCGGCCAAATCCCACACTGGCATCCTCAGCACTCACACACGCACTGTTTTCAGACTCCCTGACCAGAAATGACGGGGCTCATCTGCCCAACAGCCCGTGTAATCTCTTTGAGAATTTGTGTTTGAGAGATGAGGAGGGCTCACCCCCTGATTTCATTACCTTTCCCTGACCCCAAAGACTGACAGATCTAATTGCCCAATCACTAGTCCCCCACCTCCATGCAACCCCATGTTCCCTGCTCAAATGACCGGGCCTTCATTTAGTCTCCGGGTGGATGAAGAGACAATTCATTCACACAGCAACCCCCAAGCCTTTAATCTTGCTCTAAAACTATTTGTTGGAGTGTAAACAACCTCTCTGTTCTCTGAATGAAAAGAGCATTTCTGCTCAAAGATCTCCACAGTTACACGAAGGCTCATTGCCAGAAAAATTGTGCAAAGCATACGTCATGTTTGTTGATGACTGACAGTAATAACATCCCTTTTTTGTTCCACATTTAAACAACGGGTCACTTGGTTTTCCTTAAATCTCAGCACATTTCCAATGCCTCACATTTCTCTAATCTCTCTGTTTCTAACCTTTAAACATGTTCTTGTTTGCTAGTTGATCTTGTGGGGCCGAACAGAAAAGTGCCTTAAAGAAGCAGCAGAAGAGATCTCTCTGTCAGGAACAGAGTGCCATTACTTCCTGTGTGATGTGGCCAATCGGGAAGAAGTTTACAAGCAAGCCAAGGTGGTTAGAGAAAAGGTACGCCAGCTTTTTATACACAAAGAAATTGCTACTAAAAAAAATGTTGTTTGCACATGGTTAAACACATGATAAAATGCTTCTTTGTGATGCCTTTGTGCATCATCTGTATAATGTATATTGGCTCCCAGATCTGTCTCCCATCTGGCGTATAGATTACATTTCATCTGAAATATCTGTATAAGAGGGGGGAATATTGCTGACAGCTCTGGTGCAGCACAACTGTATCATCTCATGAAAGCAGACAGAAAATGCATACAATCTGATTACAGTGTTCTTTTTTATATGGATGTGCTTTTTAAATCTCAGGTGGGGGATGTTACGATATTAGTGAACAATGCAGCTGTGGTGCACGGCAAAAGTCTGATAGACAGCGATGACGACGCCCTTCTGAAATCCCAACACATCAACACCCTGGGACAGTTCTGGGTAAGACTTGCAGAGACTTAAGCAGACGCAGTTTGCACGCAGTAGTAGGGGAATTCCTCGTAGCAGATTACCCCTTATCATTTTCATAATTTGATTATAGCATGGCATTTCATACAGTAGGCCTCCCCAGACATGTCAATCATGACTGCTATTATGGCAGGTTAAGTGGGGTATTTCCAAATTGCTTTTCCAGCCCCTGAAACCTCAGAAGGATTTTGAAACTCATGGCATTTCTATTTTGAATAGAGATCAAAAGCCTCTGTCATATGCCAACAGAAATGCAATTATCAACTAAATGGAAATGTAATCTGTGACTGAGGGCCTGTTTCTCTTGTCTGCTCTTCCTTTTGCTCTGCTGAATATATTTCACCTTCTTTTTCCACGCTTCCTTCCACCTTGTCTTAATTCTCCCTTTCTTCTTTTCTTATCCCAGACTACAAAAGCCTTCCTGCCTCGGATGCTGGAGCTGCAGCACGGTCACGTAGTGTGCATAAACTCCATCCTGTCCCAGTCTCCCATCCCTGGGGCCATAGACTACAACACCTCCAAGGCCTCGTCGCTGGCCTTCATGGAGAGTCTGACGCTGGGCATGCTGGACTGCCCCGGCGTCGGCTGCACCACCGTGCTTCCCTTCCACTGCAACACCGAGATGTTCCAGGGCATGAGAGTCAGGTATTGAAAGAGGCTATGCCATTTTCACTTGAACAGTACTAACATTGTGGTTCTTGGGAAAGCATTGCCGGACCTTAGGTCAGTCAGTCAACCATTTTTGTCCAATCCGAAATATCTGAACAATGGTTGAAGGGCTGGATTTTGTACATCGGTATTCCCTACAGGAAATACGCTTCTGACAGTAGGGATCCCATTACTTTTCCATCAGGGAAATAACTTGACCATTAAATATATTGCTGTGAAATTGGCTATTTAAAGATATTCAAGGTGTCTCTGACTTTTCATCTAGGTCAACCAGTGGGTTAAAACCTTTACATTGCAGTGAAATCTGCTTAATGGAGTGGAAAATTCATCTATCTACTTAAAATCAATCTGTCTTCCCCCTAGGGCCTGTCTTGAAGTCTCAATAAATGACACTGAACTTTATACTTTTAAGCTCATTTTCAGGTTCATATTTGTATTTTCTGACCCTACTGCATGTTTACATGCTTTAATGTTCAAAAAGGTCTTTATTGTTCTCATACTGCCTGTGCTGCAGCACCTCTTTTCACCCTCTGTCTCAAACCAGAGCCCAGTCTGCTCTGATTGGTTAGCTGGTCAGCTTTGTTGTGATTGGTCAATCGCTTAGAGGTTTGTTGGAAATATCCCACCCCTTATCCTATCTCGTTTAATGTGTTGGAGCGCTAGCATAGAAGTGCCAGTGTTACATAGTGATGTAACTATGTTACGGAAGTAAACAAAGGAGTGGGAGAGAAACTCCCTCTGGAGGGAACTTTGGGGTTTTAAGTCTTTGCAGACCATTTACATGCACTACAACCTGTATACAGTAACACACTACAGAAAAGGGAAAACCGCAAAAAGCATAAAAGGGCCTCTTTCTGATAGTGCTGAGCTGTGCAAGTAGTTTTCCATCTATAACATAGAAGGTTCTGGAACAGGTTTGTGATTACACCCAACCTTTTCCCATATTTACAAATAATTCACATTGCAATAGCTCTTGAAAACATCAAAAATATGTATGGTTTGGCAACTATGTATTTATCTAAACTCTGTTGCTGTTTGCCATTCAAATTATGTCTAGCTAGCTAAAGCAGCATTTTATGCTCTGTTTCAACTTTAAAATAAATGTTTTTTATCAGAAATATCTACACTTTTTCTCAAAACTGCTTTATTGTTTTTTTCAGGTTTCCCCTGCTCTTTCCTCCTCTCAAACCGGAGATGGTTGCCCAGAGGACTGTGGATGCAGTGAGAGCTGACCAGGCCTTCCTCTATTTGCCCTGGACTATGCATGCCCTTGTCTTTTTAAAAAGGTAAACAAAGTACCATTTAACATCTTTCTTCTGTGTTATTTTATGTTGTTCCATGCTTAACACTCCATCCCTGATCTTTCTGCACTTTTCAGCTTCATGCCACAAGTGGCACTTGAAGAAATCCACAAGTTTTCTGGGAGTTACAGCTGCATGAACACCTTCAAAGGGAGGACATGAACATTGATAGCACTCAATGTGCGAGAGACCTCAACAGCTCTGGGGTGTAATGAAGGGAATATGGACCTTAAGACATCTGGAAGTGGAAGATGCCCTGTGATAGTGTGAAGACTTAGGGGACATGCAAGGTGGTTGCTTCTGCAGGTAGAATCAAGATAAACTGCAGGATATAACCATGCCTCATTTGTATGTGTGTGTGCCTATGTGTATAGTATGAAGGACTGAATGCCTCACTTTGAACATAAGCCATGCATAGGTCTGTACCAGTAGTTTCTCTGGACGTTTTTGACACATGTTTTAGACCCGTTTTACACTCCTTTTTTATTCACCTTTTAATGTGTCTTTGAATCAAAAAAAGATAATAAAATTGAGTTTTAGGGATGCATTGTGTTTCATTGTGCATGATGAAAATAGAAAAAACTGAACACTTGGGAGGTACAGACTGTTTTGTGTCTGGGTTTTGACTCCCATGGCAGTGTGATAACACCTTTGATTTATAACAAGCATGAGATCAGTGACTGTGACAGACGATGTTGTCAAAACATAAAACATAGGCTCGGAGGGGGCATGTGTGTTCTTGCCTGTCTCTGCTGACCAAAAATGTTAAAGGGGGGATGATGTAATGCTGCAAAAAAATAATAAACTCAAAACAAGTTGGTCAGGACCTCGTCCTCACTTGTCCAGTGTGTTCCAGAACATATTCAATGAATGTGGACATGCAGAGAGACTGTTTAGCCCTGAAAGAACAGCAGTCATATTAAGCCCTTAATTAAGAAAGCTCGAAGTAAACCTCTAAATAAAGATGACTGTATCACAAGTGGTTTATGTTAGCTTGGCTAACACTCAAACAACCCTGTCTGCAACTGCTACACTTTTGTTGTAGTAGATAATAATGTGTTTGTTATAAGCGCTAGCCCGGAGGCTAATACCCCAGAGGCTAATACCCCAGAAAAATAGGGCCAATATGGAGCCTCTTTTGTTTTATTGCATATGAAGTTGAGCATCTTCCAACATTTAGCTAAAAGCAGAGTGAGGGTTGTGTAAATTCGTAATGTTTGAGGATATTATTTAAGAATGGAAAAAAGCATGATTTAACTGCCTGGTTGAGGGCCACACTTAAAGCAGAATTTCGAAATGCATAGTTTGCCATTTTGGGTATCTTATTTGCATTCATCAGTATTGATGTTTCTACGTCTCAGCAAGATGCGTATTGTTGCAATTGTCAACCTATGCTTTTAGTTGAAAATGCCGTATCAGCCTATTGCACACCTAACTTTGTCCATTGAAGGGATACCTGTGTTTAAATATCTCTTCCCATTCCACTTTAATTCTTAAAGGGACCCTATTATGCTTTCCTAAGGCTATTGCATTGACCAGTGTTGAATTGGTGTATTTCTAAGCTCAAAAAGGTCAGTACCCTTCATACCGGAGGCTGTACTTAATTGTAATCCCCTTGTATTGTGGTGTGTTTGTGGTTGTTTGTCAATGACTGTTAGATACGATGTAAATGTGTTCAACCCTGAATAGACCTGAGAGTGGAACCTCAGTTACACAACAAACCCAGTCATTTAGTAAGTCAATTAGCAACAGGAACACCAGTGTGTGTACCATCTAGTTTTCTCCAAATGTATTTTACAAGACAAAACAATAAACACTTTTCCTGGCTGTTATGACTTATTTTGAGTGTAGTCAGCTGTACCCTGCATGAAGGTCATTCTGACAAATAAAGATTAGACCAACAGAGAGATCAAAACCTGAATGAAAGCAAAATGAAAAGTTCAGTTTACACCGCTCCACACAAACAAAAGGCCATTAGGGATTATGAGCTGCAGTAAAATAACTAATAAGGTTCAGGGGGGGTTGTGCTCTTTTCCACCCTCACAGATGGTAGCTGGTGAATTGTAACTCATTAATGTTTAATGAAATGAGGCTAAAATCTGACCACAGTGAGGTTTTAACGCTGTAAAAGCGGCAATATAAAAGCTGCGGTAAAACGGAAAATACCACACTTAGTTGCATTTGTCTTAATTCATGGGAAGGCTTCTAAAATATACAAATACAAATAAACCACAAATGCACACCAGGGCTTGAAACTGAAAAAATATCAATTTAGCAAAGAATTTCCACTGCATGTAATTATACTGCTGTGTATATTATTCCATCCATTTGCGCTCACACATTAAAAGGACAGTATGATTAATGTGTGACTTCTCACAAGAAAAAACAGAGCACCTCCTTTTTATCTACAGACCTTATCATTGTATTTCTTCTGTTTGCTTACTGAGATTATGTGATTGTTCCCTCTGAGACTGTAACTAGTATATTTAGATCGGAGCAAAGAGCAATGTTCACTGAAAATGCAACGGAGCGCAAATGTGTGCTTATCTGTATGGCCGTGCTTTTTCCTCCCTTGCAGTGAAGTTAATCATGAAGCCAAAACACTTTAGCTAAGAAGAGAATATATGCAGCATGACAATACATGCAGATATTGCAGTTTGCGAAACCAGCCAACATTAAAGGGACAGAAGTCAAATGAAAAAGTAAACTTGAAAGACGAAAGTGAATTCCATGTGGTCCTAGGGCTCTGTAAAACAAACACGCACAGAGTACAAACACAAAGAACGTTCCCCCTGCTGCCCTGAGAGTAACACTTCAACCGCACAAGAAGGGATTTGGAGATCACAGATCCAGACACCAAGAAAGACACCCCATAACTGAGCACAAGTCAAAGCAGAAACTCACAACAGAAAGTAAACCCATGAGAGTGGCTGTAAAAGCTGGGATAGCGCCTGCCCTTTGGCTGCTAGACAAGCCTCATAAACATTCATTTGAATCCCTGCGAACCATAAATGCCCCCCTGTGCACTCACGATAGGGCCGCACATTGTGATCAGTAGGTGACCCGCACTGGGTGGGGAGGGGGGGGGGACACGAATCTGCCGAGAGTGAACCCGAGCCTCCTTCAAGGGCCTGTTTCTCATTCTCTGAGTGAGCTGTTGCGAAAGCAGAGGGGGAAGAAACATGTTGGGATGGAACTAGGTCGAGCAGGCATGTAGTTCACGTATGCTGGAAGAGGAGGGCTGAAATGGCTGGAAATCTCATGGGGAAGGTTCAGAGCAAGGTTAGCCAAATACTGAATAAATCAAAGGGGGCTTGGAAAGCCTTTTCCTTGCTGCAGGCCCTCATCTCCAGGGTGACTGACCAGGCGCAGGTGGAAGCAGAGGACTAAAGGTTCAGTCATATGGGGAGAAATCATAGAGCTGTCTCAGCTGTGACTACATTCCCAGGTGTCTTTGCTGGACAGTTCAGTTTTATTTAGGATTGTACCATGGTTTTAAAACCTAATAAAAAGTATTCAAGTTACTTCAGTGTAGAAACATGGTCATCACTTTGATACCAATGGGAAATTGTTATGCAAGTTTGTCTTAGAGAGGCCCTATTTTGCTTTTTGAAAGTTAACTCCAGAAAGACTTTCCCTCCTACAGCCTCCCCCCCTGCCTCAACCGCCTCGATTTGTTATCCTCTGTAACATTATGACATCACTACACTTGTGCTTATAGGCTAACACTTCAACACATTTGACATAATAGGCTAAGGCTCGAGAAATGTCCAACACATCTCTAAGCAGTCGACCAATCACAATAAAGCCAGCCAGCTAACCAATCAGAGCAGACTGGGCTCTGATTTCAGAAGAAGTGCTGCATCACAGGCACAGAAGAGGCACAACATGCAATGTTGAACCTGGAAGTATACATAATATGTCCTCTTTAAATGTTTAATAGTCATAATTAACCTATTCTGCACCCTGGCTATTGAACCCTCTTCTATAGCCTATTTTAAAGAAGAGCAACAAATCTGACTGTATTTTTCCTATATGCTGTCCAAGCATTTGTAATCCCAACACAGCCCGCTTGGAAAGTCAGCCTCCAATGATCCATTAAATACATTATAGGAGCCCGGATCTGGAGTCCGTTGGGCTCTTTGTGCAGTGATGCTGAACGCATGTAAAACGTCAGCCAGTGCAGGATTCTGTCGTTATTCACCTCACATACACTCACAGATCCTCTGACTCCCAGTTTCCTGGCAGATGGTGCACTGTGACTTTGAAGCTTGATGCTGCATATGATACATTTGAAATCTTAAACTATACTATCCTTTAACAAATACCATCATTTCTGCCAGCTGTGTCGAGAAGAACATAACTGATTTTTCCACATTTGCACTTAAACCCCTAATAGACACCCCCCTTACTTTGCAGTAAAACACTAGAGACAAGTGGACTCAGACACTGGCTTAGTGAGCAGTGGACTATTACCTGCAATAAACCTCATAAGTCTTGTGCTTTGTGAACCAGAAAACGCTGTCGGAAGGGGATAGCCGAAAGAGCCTGAAGCCAGGGGACTACAAGAAGGTAGTAGAGTGGAGTTCAGCGGGGTGTTATTTGTTACAACTCCTTATCCGCTTTCTCTGAACAACGCAGTTAGCCCTCTCGCCAGTGTGTTGCCGGGTTCATCCATCACAGGGTGTGTAGTATGATAAAAAGGCTCAGCCCTAACCCACAGCAAGGGGCCAGCCGTGACGCCTCAGTTGACCTGTCAGACAGTAAGAGTTATTATACACTGTGGTGTTAAAGGTCAAAGGGAGCAGCAGGCTCAGAGGGTGTCAGCCCTCAAACACACAAACACACAGGGTAAATAAATGTAAGAAATTAGCCGCAACCCGCTAATGAATTATTGAGTACATTTTGAAAGTCATTCGATTCAGAAACATGGTAAGTGTGAAATACAGGCTTAATATGTCTCTGTTCATTCTGTCACATTCATATAAGATGTAGAATGCATCAAACCGAACAAAGAAACATGGCACAAACATATATCTTGAAGCATTTCAGCTATCCCAAGACATTTTGAATCACTTCACTTCACTTGGATGTTTAAAGTATTCAGCCCTTACAGGTTTATCCACCATACATATGCATCAGGTGGATTTGGCTGTTATTCTGCAACACAAGGTCAAACACTTGGTAGTTGGGGCATAGCTCTTAATAAATTCTATTCATCACTGGCTGCCAGGCATATCCTTTCTCCAGAGCGTGCAGAGAAGCACAATATCTATATAGGAATCTTTGTTGGGAAAGGGGTTTTGGAGCTACACAGAAAACGTTGTCTCTGTTATCGCCTGGTGTTCATTAAGGTTTCTTTCTGGAACATCATATCATGTCAACAGATATGATTAGGAACAACACCAGATTAGAGCCACGGCGCGCAAGGCACCACTAGGTAAGTAGGTTTCTTGCAGTGATATGTTTAAACCGATATTAGTGTGCTTTTGATATTGCAGTTTTCAATTTTGAATTCAAAACTGCCAAATGTATTCAGTTTGTTTTGTGCCTGGGTCATACAAAAAGCAAGAGATTAGCACCTTCAGTTCTGATATTCCCAAGCTCCCTTATGACAAAAAAATCCCTCTGGGTCATTCACCTACATTGTGAAGCCAAGAGAGTTCTGTTTCACATGTGGTTTCCAATGTTCTGCTTTTGAACACTGACAGTTAACAGGGAGAAAGTGGGAGGTAAGCGCTGAGGGACAAACAAAGCAAAGTAAAGCCTGCTTTTCACTGCGAGCAGAAGGCAAACACTCAAAGGGGAAGGGTGTGGGAGGGTGAAACACAGTTCACATTGCGCGGATGGGCCCAGGATATTTATAAAGCCCACTAGGCATCACGTCAGGAGAGCTCTGTTGAAAAATGTTGTTCCCAGATGGACCTCCTCATCCAGATTTATTTATTACAGAGCAGCTTCCTCAAAGATTACGCAACAGTGTCGCAGCACGAGTTAACTCTGTTGCTTGGTGTCTGTTGCCAGCAGCCTGCCTTACTCAAGGTGAATCAGATGTGGGTCAAATGAAGGGCAACGTCCTCTCAGCACCCGTATCAACAAAGTACAGAGCACATTTCAAAAGGTTATACAGCCTTTTTAACTTGTTTTCACTGGGAGACATGAGATCTGCAGGTCATACTCTTACTAAACCACAAACACCGATAAGACTGATGGGAATACAAATAGAAGAAATAACAAGCATTTTTTCTTGGCTTATGTAAAATAACTGACAGTTAAGACGCTCTTGTGTTTTCTTGGCACAGAAGCTCTGGATTTATCACACGGCTATATTACACAAAAAAAGGCCTCCCAAGCCCTCAGCCCGCATGCAAGTCACATGACCATAGTTGGCGGCCTCTGTGAACTACACCTGAACTTAGCTAAATGGAAACAGACCAAACACAAAGTGTGCGTCAGGATGAAAGCATCCCTCTGGAGAGCTGTTACAGAGGGTTTTGTAGAGAGGATGTGGGTTATCAAGCAGTGAGGGAGAGCTTAAAAGTACTTTTTTAAACGATTGAGGAAGTGCAATGCTTATATCTATCTGAGCAAAATGACACTCAGAAACGAAGCACGATTTTCTACTCATCTTCAGTTTTTTTAAAGTGGAACATGAACTTTTGCCACGGTTCCAAGACATATAATTTTCCGTGCGCACAGCTTTGATATCTGCATTTCTAGCTCAAATGAAAACAGAGGTGAGAGGAGGACAAATAGATGGCATCTGCAGGGGACAAAAATCGAATCAATTCTCTCTAGGTATAATTTGTTTCTAAAAG